TCTTTTTTCTTAGTGAATATGTCTTTTGCCAAAATCAGTTTTATCTTAGCAGCTACTAGTCCCGCCCACCTACCCTCTCTTTTCTTAGAGGGTATCTCATTTGTCAAAATCAGTTTTATCTTAGCAAGTACTGATGACTAACTTTTACAAAAAATGTCCAAAATTTGGAAACATCACGAGCTTACTTATATGCACAAGGCAGAAATTTTGAACATCTTCTCTAGTGTTTAGTTGATTATGCTTTAATGGATTTTTCTTTTATTGGTTTTGTTTTTGTTTATAATTTATAAATGTATTATTAAATGTTTTTTTTTGTTCATTTATTAATAAAAAATAACAGCTTGTTTTATTAATAATAATGCACAACGATTAATAACTAGGGGAAAAGTGCCTAAAATGATCCCCTCAGGTCAAATGATCCCCATCAATTATAAGAAAATGTGTGGCTCCATCTACCAAACATAACTGTCATTTGATTAAGCGCTCTGTAATTAGTACCTTCTGAAAGTTTGATGGCGTTCTGTGTATTCTGCACAGTTTTGTGCCAAAATATGTAAAATAAGCACCTCTGATCTAAGGTAAGATATATTTTAAAAGTCCATTACTTCCATTTGAAAGGTCTTATAGCGGTGGTAGTTGTTTTGACCAATTAGATACATTTCAGTCGTAGGTTAGTTATGATCTTTTTACCGCATGTAAAAATTGAAGGTTAGTTTACAATTTTTGAATACGGATATGCTACCTAAGGCGAAATGATCCCTTTTTCTTGAGGCAAAATGATCCCGGATCATTGGGCGGGGCTAGTACCTGCTAAGATAAGACTGATTTTTGCAAATCATATACCCTCTAAGAAAAGAGAGGGTGGGTGGGCGGGGCTAGTACCTGCTAAGATAAGACTGATTTTTGCAGATAACATATCCTCTAACCCCGCCCACCTACTCTTTATTTTTTTTGAGAGAATACCATTTGCCAATATCAGTTTTATTTTAGCAAGTACTAACCCACCCCACCCGCCCGTTATTTTCTTAGAATGTATGTTATTTGCCAATATCAGCCTTATCTTGCCAAGCACTAGCTCGGCCCATCCGGCCTTTATCTTGTTAGAGGGCTAGTACCTAATAAGATAAGACTGATTTTCGCAAATGACATATCCTCCAAGAAAAGAGAGGGTGGGTGGGCGGGGCTACTACCTGCTAAGATAAGACTGATTTTTGCAGATGACATATCCTCTAACCCCGCCCACCTACCCTTTTTCTTCGAGGGAATACCATTTGCCAATACCAGTTTTATCTTAGCAGTTACTAGCCCCACCCACCTACTACCTGCTAAAATAAAACTGATTTTCGCAAATGAAATACCCTCTAAGAGAGGAGAGGGAGGGTGGGTGGAGCTGGTACCTCTTAAGACGGGGAAATTTAAATAATTTAAAAGAATTTTAGGGATTTTCGTGTTCTATTTTTGGGAAATTCTCAGTCTTAAGAGTTACTAATCCCAGTCACCCGCCGTCACTTTTCTTAAAGGGTATCTCATTTGCCAAAATCAGTTTTATATTAGCAAGTATTAGCCCCACCCACCCACCCTCTCTTTTCTTAGAGGGTATATCATTTGCCAAATTCAGTTTTATCTTAGCAGTTAGTAGACCCGCCCACCCGCCCTCTCTTTTCTTAGAGGGTATATCATTTGCCAAATTCAGTTTTATCTTAACAGGCAGTAGGCCCGCCCACCCGCCCTCTCTTTTCTTGGAGGGTATCCCATTTGGCAAAATTAGTCTTATCTTAGCACGAACTGATGACTAAAGTATTGTCTCAAACTCTTCCAGAAATTATACACCCCGTATTTTCGGTGCTTTTCAAACTTTTTTTGTTTATTTTTTTTAAGAATTTATTTTTTTGTTAATTTTTGAAATAAAATATTTATCAGTTATGTCATGATTTGATTTTTCTTGTTGATGCTGTCCCCTTATGATCAAAATTCAAAGGGATCATTATGCCCATGCCGAGGGATCATTTTACCTATGGGGATGCCTAAAATGATCCTTTTGTAAGGTCCTGGAAAAACGCTAATAACTTTTTTTATAATTATCGAATCACCAATTGGCTTATACTGTTACCTAGATAAATCAATGTTCTTACAAATAATGCTACAGTTTCACATGAATAATAATAATTTGTATTTTTTAAAGAATTTCTCCCTTAGGGGGATCATTTTAGGCACCTTTCCCCTACTGGTTGTTTTGGTTTGTCCTAAAAAAAAAGGTAGACTATTCACACATTAGATGCGTGCAGTGTTGCCAATTTTACTTTTATAAAATTGCGGTTTTTTCGTAATCTACTTCATAAAGAATTTTTTTATTATTTTTTTGGGACTCCAGAAACCCGCGTATATGTATAACGTACTTTCCAGACACCCGGTATACAGTTTGTTTAATTTCACTTAACCTGTATAATTGATACAGGGTCGCTAGAATGTATGGAAACGGTTAAATACATATCTTGAGAACCAATTGCACAAATCAACTGAAATTAGGTATAGGTCTGAATTCATTGAATTAGCACAATCATACTTTCTTCTGACTGAAATGGCGGAATAAATTATTTTAAATAAGATTAAAAAAAAAAAAAAAAACAAAGACGACATAGTAACTTTTGAATTTTAATTTGAAATGTAAGGTGTTTCTTGCAAAAATGGCTCATCCAAGTCTAAGTAAAACTGAGCGCATAGAATTATTAAAGATTATCGGTTACGGTGACAAAAGACGAAGTTTGTCGCTATTTTGACACAAAAGTTTTGCAATGTTATTATTGTTTTTTACCTATTTCAAAATAGTCCCGTTTATACTCGAAAAATTCACATAGTAGTCGGTCATACTAACTTTGATAGTTCCCTTTTTTTTTGGAGCTAACTGTACCTAATTTCAGTAGATTTGTATAATTGGTTCTAAGATATTTAACTGTTTCCGTACATTCTAGCGACCCTGTATTTAACGCGTATAATTAATGACAATGACATGACGCAGGTTTATCTCATTTTCGACAAAAAAGTTGGCAATGTTTCTTCTGCGATATATAGAGTTTGGTAAGCTGAAACCAGTGGTGAAAACCGTGTTCCAATATTTCCATAACTAATTGAGATATTTATATTTAGAAAACATGATGCGAAAATGTCACTAACATTAAAAAAAAGACGATGATGTACATATAGAGAAAGTTGTGGTTATAAAGTTATATTTAAAATTTCGTAACAAGTCTTTCAACAATGTAGGTATTCTGAAAATGTATTGAAAACCCCCATATGAACCAAATGTTTCGACTCGCCTTAAATTTACATAGCTTATCCTTAAATAATAATAATAACGATAATAATATATACATCTTTGGATGAAAAATTGTCTGCTACATTTATTGTATACTCGAGTGATAAGTTCTCAGTTTTTACTTCACAAATATTTTAACTTTTGAGTATATTATGTAGAAACAGTGTAGTTTTAATTGATCGCTAAATTCCAAGAAAGAATGTGGTGTAGACTTTTGTTTGAAAGACTGGTTGAAGATTGTACATATTAATTTATGCATGAAAATAAAAAAAATGCGTCTCTAGTACCCTGGCTCATATTTATAAAATTAAAGATACCTATTGACCAAAACTAATTTTTCAGGTTAGCCCTTAAGACCCTCAACTTTGTAGACAACGACTACATTATTATCCATTGGCACACATTATTTTCTTGCGGAAAAATCAAAACTCTGACAAAAAAATGAATACAATATTACCTGATCAAATCCAATCTAAAAAGAAATTCCAGCCTATCACGTGTATGAAATTTTCTAGTGACGTTTAGTTCTTTTCTGGTAGTTGGTAGCTCTCCTTAGGAATTTCTGTTGAGAGGATTGGTAGAAGTTGATTTGCTGGCTAGAGGCACTAGGGGGATGAGAGACCTCACTTTTGGTGAGTGTTCTAGTGTTCTGTGGTTTTGGTGTGTCTGTTGTTAGTGAAACCACATGGTAAGTTAGCTAGGTTAAGTTTAGTTGGTTTGGTAGTCAATAAAAAAGGAAGAGCCTTTGTTTAACGAAAATTAATCATAACGACGACGAGGCCACAGCTTTCCCAACAAGCGTAGCTAATTCTTGTGGTTTTTCCAAGCGAAAATATACGAATTTTCGACAGACGCCAACACGTGGTGTAAATTCATTGTTTATAAATTATAAATTCACAGTTCACGTTAGGATTTTAATAATTACTGCTTCTAACACCATTTAATAGTCGTGAGATTATTGGATATCTAGGACAAAAACTCAACACGGAATCATAAATCACAAGTGCAAAAATATGTTATTTTAGAAAAGAAAACGTCATCCCATTGTTGGTGGGGATGATCAGACAAATTTTGGGTAGCGTTTTCCGATTTACACGATATGTACCTATATAAAATATATGTCGAATAAAAACTGATAGATGGAAACGCAGGACCTATTTTTTCGCACTCTAGGAGTCATGAAGCGTCGAAAGAAACATAAAGGCAGCCATTCGTCGAATGAACTCTATTATAATACTTCTTTAGCTTACACTGTGGCTTACGCTCAGGAAGTAAAAATTGGCCTAATATTTAGACCGAACTTCCCTCGCTCCTGAAGGCAAATAAAGAGAGACTCTTCATAAAATTATAAAATTAATTTTGCGAATTTTATTTTTACTTGCCGAGCATAAGCTAGAGGAGTACTGTAATACGGTCCATGGAGCGATTGGCTACTTTCATATTTTCTCGACGTTTCATGATCCCTAGAGTACGGAAAAATCGGTCTCTCGTTTCCGTCTGTCTGTCTGTCTGCCGTCTGTGTCGAATGAAAATTCATTTTGACAGTGTTGCCAGACATTGCGGGTGTAAACACTGCAAACTTTGAATTTTGAACCATCGACTCTCTTCACATTTCACAGTTTCAGTCTGGCAACTGGCAACCAATTCCCATCGATGTTCTGTGATTGTGTTCATTTCTCAATCTCACTTGTTCTGTGGTCTGTGGTGTGCATGGTTGCATAAAAATAACATAACCTTAGTTGCCGCATGTACCAATTTCTCCATAATAGTAAGGATACAAATAGGTAAAATCTAGCTACGTAATTCAATTTTATGTGTTTTAACAAGCAGAAAAAATATCAATTAATTTTAAGCAAAAATAAAAATCTTGACCACGATATAACCTCAGTTTCTCACCTAACCTAACTTTTTCAGGTTAACCGCCTCAGAAAGCCATGGAATTGCAAGAACTGATCCTTACGACTTGCCGCAGCACGCAGCAGTCGTCTGCTTGTCTTTGGGATCAAACCACCGGCAACGCCCTTCATTATTATAAAAATGGGGGAGTTATAGCCCCCAAAACCCTCACCTTACTCGGCAACGACTACGTTATGTCAGCTGATGAAGATAAACCAGTGACACACATTTGGCCCCTTAATAGCCAGGAGCCAGAGAAGAAAATGAGCACGGTGTTACCCGATAAAATCACAACAATGGCACACTGTCCAGACTCCTGTTACCTCGCAGCTGGAATTGGTGTACGATTATACATCTGGCACGTACCGTCAGGAAAATTGTTCTCAATACAAAAAAAGAACTTTCAGCCAATCAGCTGCATCAAATTTTCCAGTGACGGCAGTTGTGTGATCGTAGCTGGACAAGATGGGATGTTAATTGTGTACAAACTAGTCAGTTTGGTGAGTTTACACAACAACTTACAGTCACAGAGTGAAGGTCAGATCGAACCCCTTTACACCAAACACGATCACACTTTGCCAATCACAGATGTACACGTTGGTAGTTTTGGGCATGACGCACGTTTTGCCACAGTTTCAAGCGACAACACGTGTAAAGTGTACAGTTTGAAAAATGGAACGCTCCTCCTTAATTTGGTGTTTGAAGAGGCCTTGACTGCTGTGATTTTCGATGGACCCTGTTGGAACCTCTACGTTGGTAGAAATTCCGGAAAAATCCAACAATTTTTTCTAAAAGCACCTCCAAGGAATGTCGATGAGCATGTTGGTGACTTAGTTTTCAATGGTCATCAAAAACGTATTACCTGTCTCGATTTGGGGATTTCGAATGGGGTGCTCGTTTCAGGCGCTGAGGATAATTTTGTGTTTATTTGGGAGATTTCCAGCAGGCAGATTTTGAAGCGGATCGAACATAAGGGGGCTATAACTAACGTGAAGTGTTTGTTGAAGCACGACAATTTTTTTACTCAGAATTTGAAACATGAACTTGTTGTGAGAAATCTTGATAGGGATTTGATTCAGTCTGAAGTGTTCGACGTGGGGTATATTCAAGATTGTGATATTGAGTTGAGTGAGGATGAATGTGAGACAGGTCAACGGATAAACGACACGCGCTTTAAGGATTTGAAGGTGGAAAATGCGAAGCTCAGGGCCACAAATCAGCAGTTATATGAGGCTGCATTGAGAATATCTCAAAAATACACCAGTTTTTAGTTTAGGTTTTTCAATGTACATAATTTGTAATATTCTTCTACAATAAGTAAATTTTATATTTGTTTGTTTAATTATTTTGTTTTTAACTGATGACTGATGAAATTTTCAGGAGTTTAATAATCAACAACCCACTATTTCATATTTGAAGTTCAACTGATTTGTTGTTGATTTAATTAAAAATATTTTCAAATTCCTATCGTGTAATGCAGACTTAAGCAGTACAAACCAAGCCAATCAAAAATAGTGATGTTTTGGTACCGCGAATTTGTGACCAATCGCCATCACTGATCGGCAAGTTAGGTTAGGTGTGCTGGATCAGGTGAGGTTATATACAGATAAAAAATTTTGGATTCGGGGAATTCTGGATAAATAAAAGTGTTTTGATTATTTCACTTTATTTTCGTAGTCAAAATATAATAATTAACCCTTATAATATGATAAGCAAAAATTGGACACACTATTATGGCGAAAATGTTTTTTTCAGAACATAAAAAACGTAAATAAGTTAGTTACACAAGCAGCAAATTAGAAAATCACAGAAAAATAAGGCCCACGACTCCTTTTACACACGATTTGTATAGAAGCCACTTAAATATGAAACATTTGATCGAAACAATGAACATGCTTTGAGTGTGAGTGGGCAGCGAGGACCTTTTCGTAAAATAAATAATAAAATAAAAACCAAATAGAGCGTCACAGTCTTTTTTACATGTACAAATATAAAAACAAGTAAAACCACTTATAGAACACATATATACAGTAATATACAAAAAAATGGGAACATATCCACGAAGATGTTTGGGATGACGATGTGAGAATAGATTTTATTTTTGGACACAAAGAACTAAGAAACGGTCTACGACAGTGTATGAATATGTTTAAAAATCGTAGCTATATTATTATAATATAAACATTATATTACATGAAAAATCTTGGCTTGTGAAGTAAAAAATAGTGTTTAAATACATAAAAAAATATGCGAAAACACTAAAAACGTCTTATATACCATAATCCAGTTCGTTCTTTGTAACATTCTTATAAGTCTACTCTGAACTAGCTTTTATGTACAACTTTACAATCTTTTAGTTTCTTTTTTTATTTTTTTAAAATATACCTCTTCCCTCTGTATACTCTTGAATAACGAAACTACTATCCCTTGGGTAATCAGCGTCGCTTCCTACGAACTCGTCTAAAGACAGGAATATGATTACCCCGTTTGTTTTTTTTTTAATTACAAGTATTGGCAGTACCAAATATATAAAATCTTAATATATTTCTACTGTTCAGAATACTGTGTCGTGTCCGGTATAAAATGTACGTCTAAATTTTAATCTTCTAACAGACAATAGCTTGTTTCATCTTCCATTCTAGATGTTTAGAATTTGTCTAGAAGTACAATAAGGGAGGCAACACCTATCATATGTATACAACAAATGAATATTTGAGTCGCTACAGTAATAATGGCAAGAGAAAATAGGTATAAAACATTTTAATAACCACCTTTTTCAACAAGCTACTTTCCATCACAGTATTTTCAATGTTTTTCATTTTTAGAAAACAAACGCGTAAATTATATACAGGCAAGATACGTAAATATACAATTTGTGCTATTACATACATCTTTTCCGAAACAAAAAAATAATAAATAAAACCCTTAATTACACAAGCACAAGAACTAAAACATTCGTTGTACCGTTAAGCTCCACATTATTATTACGATAAAATACATGCTTGTATAATTAAAGTGTACACAAAAATCGAAGCCAACATTTATCCGAACGAAACGAAAACGTAAACGAAGAATAAAAATCGAATTCTTTTACTAAGTTCTTTCGTAACCACTTAATACTCAGACAGAGTATGTAAAACCGTTCGTCTTCATCATCTTATAACGAGCGCCGCCAATACTGAAGATAGGACGATCAGAAACGTCGGAATTACGATGGAACTGGAATTTTCGTTGTCGACGGCGCAGGTTCCTGTAATCAAAAAATCATTAGAGTTAAAAGGATCCGCTTTTATTACCTCTAATTTTGGTTTTTTGTTATCTAGATCGAGGTAATTAAGCTTAAATGCTACCCTTGGCGGCGTGCTTGCGCCAGGGAAACGAAAAAGTGCAAAGAGCAACTCTTTATTAGCAAGGCACGGCGGACAACCAGGGCTGGGCTGGCCTGGGACGAGATTCACCTCGCATACGCAAACGGGGAAAATGTTTATAAAATATTCAGATTTGTTAATAATAATAACACGCAGGTAGTAATATTCGATTTATGAATTTATGACATCCAAGGTTAACAGAAGAAGAACTGCATCTAACTTCTTATTTTATCATAAATTTTTACTGCGTTTACCGAACAGATGGAGTTGTAAAACGGCACGATTTTCACGTGATTTCTTAAAACCGTAATACTATTGTTCGAGGGATGTCGGTAGTTGAATTGGGCATGACCGTTTTTACACAGCTCAATAAATTATACCTATTTTTTCACTCTGGCTCGTGCCTTCATGCCGTGATGCGTGTTTTCAGTCTTCCCACGTTTTTCGTGTTTTATTTTAATCGCTTATGTGATATTTTCTTTAAACAGTGTGATTTTTACTTCCTAAGCTTAGACATCTAGTATGATGACATTATTTTATAATTTTGTCGAATAAATATGTATTTCTTAAATTTTACAGAATTGCATACTACTCTGCATGTGTGATTTATGAAACCGTGTTGAGTCTTTACCTTTAGCATCCAGATTTTTGGGAAAAAATTGAATTATATGTATAAGAAATTTTACAATTTAACTTTGAAATCGCAAAACCAAATGTTGTGAAATCTTGCACGTATTTTAAGGTAAATCGCTGCCGAGTTCCTCAAATTTATGGGGGTTTTTTGGAAAAAAAAACTGAGTGTGATTAATTAATTAATCACATACGGTTCATTTTCTTTTAACCGATGATCCTTGCAATCTGAATGGTCCAATTCTTTCGAACTATAAACATAAACAGTCGAAGTTAAATTGAGAATATATACATTTTTCCCGTTGGTGATCTGCTTTCAATATATTTCATATTGTCCACAGTTGTGCGGACCGCGACCCACTTTTCGGCAGAATTTCTTCTGTCAACAATTTTTGGGGTAACTAGATCACAAATCAAAAATATCTCCCGGTATTATCTAGGTTTTTGCCCCTATTTCGAAATCCGATGGAAAGACGTGAGACACACATATGCGAATTTGTTTTCAATTTTTCCATTTTGGATCGTACTGTATGTTATTTCAAAAACAAGAAATATAAAGAGCTTAAAAGTATTTATGCAGTGTCTTCTTGTTGTTTTGGTATTAAGAAAATTTTTCAGTAAGTGTGTTGTAAAACGATGAAGTAAAATTGTCAACCATTTGGTAGAATTCTGGCTCTTCCATTTTCTCGACTAATTTAACAGAAGACAATTCTTGAACATTAATTTTGAAAAACGAATTACGCATAGAAATGAATAAGAAATCATCGATTCTGCCAACATTTATACCATTTATGAAAAAAAATATTTTCAAAAACGCACACTTATTTTGTTAATTTAAAAAAAAAGGTTCCAGTTGGACCAAAATTTAAATACTGGCAGTCACACGGAGAAAAAAAAATCCCCTCAACAATGATTATTACTTCAGCAATTAATTTCAAATGGGTGTAAAAGTTGTCCCAGAAAGCATTTTTTAAGAGAAAGATAAAATAATGTGTTCGAACCTACCTGCTATATTTATTACGAATCTAAATCGCATCTGGTTTTCAGTCCATAAAACAAAGGAAGACACGTTGCAAATTTGACTATTGGTAGTTTAAAAGAAAACGCACTTAGAAGAGACATTTATTAAATGTCTAAGAATTATAAAAAACGAATAGATTTGTTAACGATTGATTGTTTGATTAATTATTTATGTAAAATGTCGTCAGGTAATGTTTTATTAACGATCATGATGTTGTTTCTTACATGTTTATAAAGCAGCAACGAATTTAAACATACTTTTCCCAAGCTTAATCCACTGTATAGTTGTTTAGCACACGGTCTTAATAGGGTTGTTTAAAGTGTTAAAATTCAATTTCCTCTTGTCAACAGTTTAGATAATAACGTTAGAAAAGAATTTTCACCCCTGTGCGTACAGGTAAAGACAAAATGCCTGATCTACCGTTACAACAAAAACTCTAAATAACTTGTTAAAATTAATAGATTTTATATCTAAAAATTTCCTTGTCTAGAGGTTATGAAACATCGAGAAAATAGGAAAGTACCAAATTGCCCGATGGATTTCATTACTCCACGTCCTTTGGTTATCCTCGATAAGAAAACCAACTTGAAAGTATTTATGTTTATACATCGGAAGAATGTCACGTAGAACTTGGTTTGATTTGAACGAGTTCGTCCCCTCAAAACGGAAGATGAAAACTATTAAGTAGTACGCTACAACCGACAAAATGTTCTGAATATCATTATTCTAATTCTTATTAAATAAAGGCGTTTGTACTTTCACATTTTCGGAAAAATGGGGTGACTCGTTCTTAATTTGATCAATAAAAAATATGAATGCATTGCCAAATCACAAGTAAAAACTCATCATATTTTGCACATTTTGGGTAGAATTTATTCGGCAAAATTTTGAGATAACGTCATCAATTTTTATCTGCAAAATTTCAAAGCACTCAGTTTTGGAATTCTTGATTTATTCAATAAAATAAAGTGACTGATTTATTAATTTTTTTGAGTCACCTGTATAAGCACATTGAAGACCAGTCGCTACGTTTTCTGCATGGAATTTTCGGTACATGTTTTATGTTTCTTTATACCGGGTGATGAGTCTGGGAAACATAGTAAAAAAATCCTCAGATTTTGGTGGAGTTATAATGATTCTCAAATTGGTTCTTTTGCTACGTTTAACAACTAAACAACACATTCATTATCACAGTAATTAGTAATAAAACTTTTAGTTAATTTTTCTCTCACCCATGATCATATTTAATTACCATTTCAGTTACAATGTAAAAAAAATACAAAGATATGGTTGTATTGTATTTGTAATTGATAAAATTTCATCTGACAACAATGTTTGCCTGATATAAAGCGAAGGAACAAATTAGCAAAAATCGAGTAAGCAGTTAAAAATGTTTGACGTATCAAAAAATGTCAAAGTTTTCAAAACCTTACGGTCCTCTGGGGCCGATTTATAGAAAGCGAATTAAATATTTAATCCTCGATTAATTTGACGGAGGATTAAAATGTAGAATATGAGCCCGTGATTGGTTAAAATATGTACATTGCATAGCAACGGACGTCAATTACAAGTTACTAGCGAATTAACTTTAATTTGCATTCTATAAACCTGGTCCTGGTGTTTTATTTTCGGATAAATTTACAGGAATCTGGTGTTTTGTTGCTGGATGAACTTGAAAAAATCTTTTGAGCTTTTAGTGTCTTATTTTTTACGAATTTGAAAAAGTCTTGAGTGTCGCAATGTTTTTTTTTTAATTCGGGAGACTTCTGATGGGTAACTATGGTGTATTATTTTGGGAGCCCATGGAGATTTTTTTGTAAGTTATTTTAAACAATTTTGGAGTTAATTTTGGGTCCATTTTTTTTTGAAAAATTTAAAACAATCTTGAGGTTCTAGGTATTCCTGTTTGGAAAGAATATGAAAATGCTTTGAAGCCTCTAGTGTCTTTTCTTTTAATAATTTAATTAAATTTCTTAGAGGATACGTCATTTGCCAAAATCAGCCTTGTCTTAGCAGGTACTAGCCCCACCCACCCACTCTTTTCTTAGAGAGTATCTCATTAGCCAAAATCAGTCTTATCTTAGCAGGTACTAGCCCCACCCACCCGCCCTCTCTTTTCTTAGAAGGTATCTCATTTGCTAAAATCAGTTTTATCTTAGTAGGTACTAGCCCCGCCCACCCGCCCTCTCTTTTCTTAGAGGATATGTCATTTGTCAAAATCAGTTTCATCTTAGCAAGTACTGATGACTCACTTTTACAAAAAATGATCAAAATTTGGAAATATTAACTGCTTATTTATATGGATAAGCCAGGAATTTTGAACATCTTTTCAAATGTTTAGTTGTTATGCTTTTTTTGGTTTATTTATTAACGAAAAATAACAGCTTGTTTTATTAATAATTATGCACAATGATTAATGACTTCTGGTTGTTATGGTTATTGTCCTAAAAAAGATAAAAGGTGGATTTCAGTCACCATCGATACTAAGAAATCAGTAAGTAAACCGTAGGTATTTGCCCATTAGGTGCGTGCAGTGGTGCCAATTTTATTTTTATAAAACTATATTTTTTCGTAATTTTTTTATTATTATTCTGGGACTCCCGAAACCCCCGTACATAACGTACTGAAGAGTTAATCCGCCATTTTCCAGACACGCGGTATAACACAAGTTTTGTTAAAAACAGTTTATTATCATACTTTTTTTTAGTGAAATTTTTGCTTAACGTATCTTTGAAATTCAATATCTCAATTATTTAAGAAAATTTTGGAACACGGTTTTCACTGTTTTCAGCTGATAAAACTCCAGAAATCGAAAAAAAAGCCTGTGTCATAGAAGCTGCTAAACGTTTATTTTTACTAGACCTCAGTTCCAACAAAGAAAGTCGAAAATAGATTTAATACGATTTCTAAAGTTTTGCAAGCTGAAAAGTGGTGAAAACCGTTGTCCAAAATTGTCATAAATAATTGAAACATTTATTTTCTAAAATACATGAAGCAAAAATTTTAACAAAATTTGAAAAATATATGACAATAAACTGTTTAAAACAAAAACTGCCGTCGCAATTGTATAGTGAAAGTAGTGGACAAGTTATATTTTAAAATTTCATAACAATGACTTTGTTAATAATGGAGATATCATATTCTGAAAATATATTGACAACATCACAAGAGCCAAAACGTAGCGACTCCTCTTAAGATAGGATTTGTTCAGCAAAATTTTGAGGTGGCGTCACTAATTTTTTAAGGGGGATGAGCAAATACATTTTGATCAAAAATTTACCATGCATATGATAACTTTAGAACATCTCCAAGATTTCAAAGCATTCGGTTTTGCAAATTCAAAATTAAATTGCAAAATGTTGTTTTATAATTTGGATTTTTTTTCCAAAAATTTGGACGTTTCGTGTAAAAACTCAATACGGAATCATAAATTACACCTATTAATTTACAAAAACGACTCGATTACGCTCATTTCTAATTACATTTACCGATTGGTAGTGACGTTAACAGTAGTTCAAATATGACAATTAATTGTGGATAGACACATTCCTGATCCGTTGGTCTTAGTTTAAGCTTTCAGTTTCAGTTTTGTAATCCAACCTTAATTTTCGTAAGGTAGCATTTTCAGTGACTTATTATTACTATTATTATTATACAGGACACGCGCCTAAAATCCCACACTTACCGTTACTAGTGAAATTGAAGGCCCAAATCCCCGTGACTCCCGGTATGACGCTTCTTTTACAAGTCTCGGCAACTCCACTCAGACGCAATACGGGAGGCTCGACCTTCTTGCCCAGCGAGCCTTCGATGACGGTCGTCTCTGGTTGGTTCGACAACGTATAAATGAAACAATAACGCAGCGCGTCAGTCGACTTTCTTGCCACAGGTGACGCGATGACGTACGAAATTCCATTTTCTTCCCAGCTGCCATGACAGGAATATTCTGGAAGAGACACAGTTTTAAAGGCAGCGTTAATGTTTGCTTCTCATTATTTTGTTTAATGATTTACCGCTAATGGTCTGCTGGGCACACGATGAGCGAAATTCCATGCCGTGCGAACCGCCGCAGCCTACTGCGAGAGCTTCGTAATTGTGGGAATAACAATCGGCTGAAAGTTGATTAGACGTGCCATCGTCTGAAAAAAAAGAATTTTCAGCTTCTCGGGTGGGTGGAGTGCTTGATGGGGAATTACCGGGTTGCTGGCGCTTTTTCCGCTTTTCTGGAGTCGACGAGACGACGTTGAACAACGTGTATCGACCAAGATGGGGACACTTTTTGGTGTGTAGATTTGTAGCTGGAATTAAAAAATGTTGTCTCACAACCTTTCACTAGTGCGGAAATTTTCAAAATATTTTTGTATTAAAACACAAAGTAATTTAACGTAGATTGTGAGAACATAGTCTAATTTAAAAATTATTCATAGAAGTGAAAAACGGATCGCGATTACGATCTCGAAATTAATGCGTTTCAAATTGTTTTCTGTTGAATTTATTAAAATACCTAATTTAATGTTATTTTTGTTTTACTTTAAACAATCCACAGTCACGGAGTTTGGTAATTAAAAGCGGCTGGAGAATTAAAAATAATGTTTTATTCGTATAAAAAGTGCGTTCTATTCTAACGCGTTAATAACCAAACCACGGTTTTAATATTTCATATTTTATTTCAAGTCCAGGGGTAGCTCTTGTTATAGGACAATTTTATTTTTTTGAAGTATTAAAGTTTTACAGCACAACGTAGGTCCGTCCGTTTCACACTTACTAGCGACACAACTTCGCATAAAATGTGTACTTACTAATTAAAGTCGTATATGGGGTTGTTGTCGGATTAAAGTTGGCACAAGCTTCATCGGGGTTCTCGAAATAGTTTTCTGAAAAATATAAAAAATTACCCAAACTTTCATCCCCTCCCTCCGCATTACCTGATTGCTGCAACTCGATCACATTCGAATCTCGTTTGTAGAACATCATGCAGACGTAGCCGCTATCGCTGAAACCAAACTTTTACCCCAACGTCACCGCCAAACTAAAAAACTCACCATCCAGCCGTAACATGAGCCACAATCTGAACTTTCTTATGATCGTGTGATTGCAAAATCATATGACACACCACTCTCATTTCCGAGTTCTGCTTTCTCTGATCCTGCGACTCGAATCCGAGCTGTTGGAATCCGAAGGCGAAGTTTTGGTGAACTTTGTTCGGTTTAGGCGCTTCGTCGTCTAGTATTTTGAGCGTGGCGTTTCTTTGGCTAAATTTGTAAGTTTTGTGGTGGTCTAGACTGAGCCAAGTGTGATGGTCCGTTATCCATAGCGGAAACTTGCAACGGTTGTGGTGGTTATCTACCGTAGTGAGCTTCATGGTTCTGCTGCCTTCGAAGGCGTTCTGGAGCCCGTTGCACGTGGCGTCTCCTGATTGGGCGACGTTGTACACGCTCTTGCTGTTCTCTGTGTTCTTTTGGTAGATGAAGCATCGGTACTGGTCTTCGTCGGAGATCAAATTGCGGCGGTTGCCTTGAGAAATGCGACCGATGAGGTATCGAGTCGAGCCTTCTTTCCATGTTGCTAGGCATACGAGTTCCTCCACTGCAAGTTTTTCGTAATTATAAAGTAATGTGAACAACAAAAAAAATTAGATTTGAAAGAGACATTGGATACTGAATTAATAAATTTATTAGGGGTGATGAGGTATTAGTTATTCTTGTGGATTCATAAATTTTAGTCAATACAGCAAATATTGTAGCGTCATTTTACATTTTCAAAACAATAAAAACCTTCTCCAACACTCCTAGACAGAATATATTGATCTTGCTGCTAACAAATGAATCAAACCTGGAAAATGCCACCCACTTACTATTCTTTCGGCCTTGCACCGTGAATCACACATCATCAATTTTTAAACCTAATGTTAGAGCGCTTACCGTTGCTTTCGGTGGATGGAACGTCAGGACAAGCCTGATACTTTAAAACCAGGCGAGAATCGTCTGTGCAACTCTCGGCCTTGCTCGGTGGATTGTTGCAGTCACCCGAGCCCCTGTTGTAGCTGAAGGTAAAAGGGGCACTCCTGAAGGGACACGGCACAGGTTTGGCTTCGGGATGTTTACGAAACATGCTGTATAAAGGTGCGTCTCCCGTTATCCCGTAGCAAATTTCTTGTAGGGACGCTTTGGTCTCACAAAAAGCTGAAAAAAGGTGATGTTCCCATTCGGAATTCTATTTAACTTAATATACTGACTTTCTTTGTATTGGAGAACGCTTTGGTGTTTCTCGTGAATGGCCAAGCACCTGTAGCAATCTTCGGTTCTGTGAATAAAAAGAGATGTGTATGAAGTGTAATCGGTGTAGAGAACTCGAATTACTTACAAAGGATAGTTAGGGGTATTATGTGGAAAACTTTCATACAAAAGGGGGTGATTAATGAATAATGAAGTTCTAGTCGATAATGCCGGGAGGGTAAATACACACATAAATGTTTAGTTGTATCAATTTTCGTAAACGAGGTCAAAGAATTTTTGCTTTTTCATTAAGTACTGTAGGATGAAAAAGTACACGTCATGCATGTTTTTGCCACGTATCAATAAAATAATTTATAGAAAAAAAATCTGTTATACATGATACAGATTACCTCTGTATGTATATATATAATACAAACTGACATTTTCAAGAAGTCAGGGTAAAATATTTTTGCGAAAATTTAGATATAAATTTCCATCTAAATTCTGAAGAAGTAAGGGCCAATCATTTTATTTCCCAATATATCACACCAGACATTTGTGCAAAACACTGTGTGGTTTGAAAACGGTGAAATTTGTTGACTTTAGGGATTTTAATATATTGGTGACCTGCTGATGTCAACTTGCGCTGTCATTGCTTCTTTATCTTGATGTGAAGAATTATCATCTACTACTGTAAAAACAGTTCGCCATATCGTTGGGCATTTTTCTACATTTCCCATCCCCATGTATCAATATCATATCCGTTTTTTCATTGTTTGAAGACATTATATTAAAAAAATTCAAGTGATTGAAGTCTCTTGTACGTCAAAGCTTTAAACGAAAAATTGCCTGTTTTATGTTTTAAAAAATTACAAAAGATTATCCGAGAAAGCTACAAGAATGTTGTTTGGGTTGCATTTCTAAAAAAGTCAGGCTCATTATCACTCGTGAACAACCCTGTATATGCTAGATGAATATAAAGGTTTCAGCATTTTAAATGCAACTGCAAAACCAAAATTCCAGTTTTGAAAAGAGTAATTTTAATGAGAGCGCTCAAAATTTAGATAAACATATGTTCAAGAAACCACATGTAGCGATATTATAGATAGTGAGACAACTCCTGACCATCAATCAAAATGAAACATTAACTTATGTTCCATAGCCTTTCAAAAAGGTTCTGTTCTGGCCAAAAACTCTGGAAAAGGAAAAAAGATATTGCCAAAAGAAAAAATTCCTTTTCTGGCGAGCTTTTCCGACCGGCAGATCTATAATCGAAAAAAAAAAAAAACAAAAATTAGAACGAAAGCGGTTGCAGGAAGAAAAGAAATAACAAAAAGAAGCAAATATTTCCAAGAGAAGAAAATTGGTTGGGAAATGACCCTGCCAAGTGAATAATTTTGTTATTGTCAAATATGAAGAGATATACCACTCTTGACAAATTTTAAACATGGTTGATCAAAAGATCAGAATTAATGTTATGTGTAAAAGTGGTGCCAACACCGGGCCTAAAAAATGGAAGTGGCCGGATCCCGTGGATGTTGTATGGTACGACAAAGAAGATATTGTTCAAAAAATTGAAACACCATTGAAGCTAAATAATCGAGGAATGTTTAATGTGGAAGAAATACAGGAGTTTGATGATTGTTTTTAACTTTTTTTTTTTAATTTGCGAATTATCATCTACTACGACAAGACCGATCATTTACTGGTACAGAAGAATTTTTAGTACAATTCATTATTTTAACTTTGATTTAACGGTTATCATTCAAATGATCATATACTTAAAAAAAAATGAACTTTTATAAAAATGAGACATTTCATAATAGATCCACACATCAAATTTGGTAAAAAAGAGTGGAAATGAATTTTTTACGGGATTTCATTTTAAGGGATCTGCGTAAGTTTATCATCTATAGGGACTTTTACCTTAGGTTTTTAGTTTACTTTCTTCTTTTTTTTTCTCTCGCATGGTTTTTTATCTACCACTTTCTCGACAAGGTGAGAATACGCTCCTCTTTATTTAAAAATGGTTTTTTGATTAAAAGTTAAGAGTTCGTTGTTTGAGATTAATAATTAAATTGTATTGTTTAATAGACATCGTTGGTTGCAAGTTAAGTAATCAAGGTGATCATATTTACATTTTTGTGGTCTATGTTCCCCCATCTATTCCTATAGAAGATTTTGAGTCATTTTTTGAAACATTTGGTAATTTTTCTCTGGAGTATACGAATGTAGTTTTAATTGGGGATTTTAATGCAGTTAGTTTTTGCAGTAATACCATAGATAGGAAATCCAATGGACTTCTTCAAATGTCTGCGTTATTGAACTTGACGCAATTTAATAGTGTACCTAATAGTGACGAACATTTTCTTGATTTAATTTTTAGTAGCTTAGGGGAGTGTGCTGTAACGCATGATACTTCTCCTCTGGTGGGGGAAGATAGATATCATCCTGCACTAAATATTAATATTGGTCTTAAACATCAGTCTTATGTTAATTTTCCAATAAGTTCGGAGTCAAAAATTTACAATTTTAAGAGAGCGAATTTTTCTTTATTGTATATTGATATGTTAAATGTTAATTGGAATTCACTATATCAGATTAGGGAAGCTAATGATGCATGCGGATATTTCTACGAGCAGTTGTATTCCATATTAGATAGGCATGTTCCGTTGGTGAAGAGTAAAAAATATAAGTATCCAAATTGGTATTCTGAAGAACTGAGAGGAATGCTCAGATTAAAACGAAAATTATTTAGGAAGTACAAACGCAGTCATTGTGACAGCTGGTATCATGAATTTTCTTCTGTTCGTAGAACGGTTAAAACTCTCATTTGCAGAGACTTCAAAGATTACATCAACAGAGTGCAAAGTTCTCTTCTGTCAGATCCAAAATTTTTTTGGTCCTTTGTAAAGGAGAAGAAAGGTCGTACGTCTATACCTAACAAAGTGTACTTAGATGATTGCTGTTATGATCAACCGAAGGATATTGTTGATGCGTTTGCGAAGCTATTTTGTTCTTCATTTAATTCGACTGCTGATGACCTAGCACCTCTTGGCATGAATTACATTAACAAAATTAAGAATCTATGTTTTAGTATTCAAATTACTGAGGATAATGTTCATCAAGCGATTAATAAACTGAAAAATAACTCTGTTTCTGGAGTTGATCAGATACCCTCTTTTTTTATAAAGGACTGTTCAACTACACTCTTGAAACCATTGTGTTATCTGTTCAATCTCTGTGTTAAAAATTCCAGCTTTCCTGATATATGGAAGGATGCCAGAGTAACTCCAGTTTTCAAATCTGGTGATTTTGCGGATGTTCGAAACTACCGTCCTGTGTCCATTTTATGTAATTTTTCCAAGGTTTTTGAAAATATATTGCATAAACAAATGTATTTTAACATCAAAGATATCATTTCTACATATCAGCATGGTTTTACTGCTGGAAGATCAACACTAACCAACCTAACGTGCATGTCTCAGGTTATTGCTGACACACTTGATGAAAAAAAACAACTTGATGTAATATACACAGATATTTCAAAAGCTTTCGATAAAATTAATCATAGGATTCTGTTAGAAAAATTATCAGCTCTAGGATTCTCAGATTTGGTGGTTACATTTTTTTCGTCTTACTTATCTGGGCGTAGAAATTTTGTGCTATATAATGGTTTTAAATCGGACTGTTACACAGCTACATCTGGAGTTCCACAAGGCTCTACCTTAGGGCCTTTGTTCTTTCTGATCTACATTAACGATGTCGTTGATGTGATTGAGAATTCCAAAATACTTATTTTCGCTGATGATGTAAAATTATATCTTAAAATTAATTGTGTTGAAGATTGTCAGTTGTTGCAGAATGATATTGACAAAATACAATCCTGGTGTTCGTTAAATGGTTTACCTTTAAATAAGGAAAAATGTAAAGTGGTTACGTACAGCTTATGTTATCAACCCTTTCGATATGATTACGGTATTGATGGCATGATTATGCAAAGAATGTTGACTGTAAAGGACCTAGGAGTCTGTTATGATTCGCAATTTTCTTTTCGTGAGCAAATAAATAACATAACAAGTAAAGCAGGTAAGATGCTCGGGTTTATTATTAGGAATTGTAAAGAATTCAGTAATATTTCTATTTTAAAAACTCTGTATTATTCACTGGTTAGAACTAGATTGGAGTATTGTTCGTTGGCATGGTTTCCTTACTATAACTGCCAAATAACAGTGCTTGAAAATGTTCAGCGTAGGTTTTTAAAATATTTGTTTTATAAGGATGAGAGAAGATGGCCAGTGAGGAACTGTTCGAACAGATATTTACTTGAAAGATTCCAGTTTAAATCATTGTATTGTAGACGTATTGGTAGCGCACTTGTTTTTCTCTACAAAATTTTAAATAATATTATTGATTGCAGTGATCTACTCAGCAAACTACTTTTCTTTGTACCCAGAATAAATAGCAGATATGCTACAACGTTATATTGTAATACACCCAGGACCAACATCGGAAGAAAAGCTCCATTGTATATTATCTGCACATACCTGAATCGAATCGATAGAGATGCAGCCTGTGATATATTTTTTTGTTCATTAAGGAAACTGTTACAAACTGTGAATGAAATTTATGTTTAGTTGTATTCAATTTGATTGATTTTATAATTAAGTACTTGCGAATATGGTGTTAGTTAGTTATTTAGTTAATTGTTAATTATATTTTAAGTTTGGGAATTATTTGTCCTGTAAATGGAACTATTGCTCTGTTGGACAAATAAAGTATTATTATTATTATTATTATTATTATTATTATTATTATTATTAGAAATGTAAAATTATCTCGGGGGCGTCAAATGTCTACTTTTACGAATGTGAAACCTTCTCGGGGGCTCCAACTGTCTCTTTTAAAAATGTAAAGTCTTCTCAGAGACGCAAATTTTCTGTTTTTAAGAATGTGAAACCTTCTCGGTGTACCAACTGTCTTTTTTAAAAGTGTAAAATCTTCTCGGAGACGCCAAATGTCTTTTTTTAAAAATGTGATCTCGGGGGCCCCAAATGTATTTTTTTAATAATGTGAAACCTTCTTGGGGGCCCCAAATATGTTTTTTTTATAATGTGAAACCTTCTCGGGGGCGCCAAATGTATTTTTTAAGAATGTCAAACCTTCTCGGGGGTCCCAACTGTCTTTTTTTTTAATGTAAAACCTTCTTGGGGGCCCCAAATGTCTTGTTTTTAATGTGAAACCTTCTCAGGGTTTGCAACTGTCTCTTTTAAATATATAAAAACCTTCTCAGGTGCACCTAATGTTTTTTTTTAAGAATGTGAAACTTTCTCGGGGCCCCCAAATGTCTCTTTTTTTTAAGAATGTGAAACCTTCTCGGGGGTCCCAACTGTGTTTTTTTAACAATGTGAAACCTTGTCAGGGGTGTCAAATTTCTTTTTTTTTTTTATGTGAAAACTTCTCGGGGGTCCCAACTGTCTTTTTTCAAAAATTTAAAACCTTCTCGGGGGCCCCAAATGTTTTTTTTTTAAGAATGTGAAACCATGTCGGGTGCACCTAATATATTTTTTTAAGAATGTGAAAGCTTCTCGAGGGCCTCAAATGTTTTGTTATTAATGTGAAACCTTCTCAGTGTTCTCAACTGTCTCTTTTAAGTATATAAAACCTTCTCAGTGTTCTCAACTGTCTCTTTTAAATATATAAAGCCTTCTCGGGTGCACCTAATATATTTTTTTAAGAATGTGAAACCTTCTCGGGGCCCCCAAATGTCTCTTTTTTAAGAATGTGAAACCTTCTCGGGGGTCCCAACTGTGTTTTTTTAACAATGTGAAACCTTGTCGGGGGTGCCAAATTTCTTTTTTTTATGTGAAAACTTCTCAGGGGTCCCAACTGTCTTTTTTAAAAATTTAAAACCTTCTCGGGGGCCCCAAATGTTTTTTTTAAGAATGTGAAACCATCTCGGAGGTCCCAACTACCTTTTTTTAAAAATATAAAACTTTCTCGGGGGCCCCAAATGTTTTGTTTTTAATGTGAAACCTTCTCAGTGTTCTCAACTGTCTCCTTTAAATATATAAAACCTTCTCGGGTGCATCTAATATATTTTTTTAAAAATGTGAAACCTTCTCGGGTCCCCCAAATGTCTCTTTTTTAAGAATGTGAAACCTTCTCGGGGGTCCCATCTGTGTTTTTTTTTTAAGCGAAACGTTCTCGGGGACGCCAAATGTCTTTTTTTAAGAATGTGAAACCTTCTTGGGGGGCCCAAATATGTTTTTTTTTTATAATGTGAAACCTTCTCGGGGGCGCCAAATGTATTTTTTTTACAATGTGAAAACTTCTCGGGGACGCCAAATGTCTCTTTCTTCATATGAAACCTTCTCGAGGGTCCCAATTGTTTTTTTTTTTAATGTAAAACTTTGTAGGTGCCTCCAAATGTAATTTTTTGAAGAATGTGAAAACCTTGGGGGTCCCAACCTCCCAACTGTTTTTTTTTTAACAATGTGAAACTTACTCGGGGGTCCCAAATGTCGTTTTTTTTTAAGAATGTGAAACTTTCTCGGGAATCCCGACTGTGTTTTTTTAACAATGAAAAACCTTCTCGGGGGCGCCAAATGTCTTTTTTTATATGAAACCATTTCGGGGGTCCCAACTGTCTTTTTAAAAATGTACAACTTTCTCGGGGGTACCAAATGTATTTTTTTTAAGAACGTGAAACCTTCTCGGAGGTCCCAACTGCCTTTTTTTAAAAATCTAAAACCTTCTCGGGCTCCCCAAATGTCTTTTTTTAAGAACGCGAAACCTTCTCGGAGGTCCCAGCTGCCTTTTTTTAAAAATCTAAAACCTTCTCGGGGGCCCCAAATGTCTTTTTTTTTTAAATATGAAACCTTCTCGGGGTTCTCAACTGTCTCTTTTAAATATATAAAACCTTCTCGGGGGCATCTAATGGTTTTTTTTAAGAATGTGAAACCTTCTCGGGGGCGCCAAATGTACTTTTTTTTAAGAATGTCAAACCTTCTCAGGGGCCCCAAATGTCGTTTTTTTTTTAATGTGAAACCTTCTCGGGGTTTTCAACTGTCTCTTTTAAGTATATAAAACCTTCTCGTGAGCGCCTAATGTTTTTTTTTAAGAATGTGAAACCTTCTCGGGGCTCCCAAATGTCTCTTTTTTAAGAATGTGAAACCTTGGGGTTCCCAACTGTTTTTTTTTTTAAGAAGTTGAAACCTTCTCGGGATCTCCAAATGTCTTATTATTATTATTATTATTATTATTATTGTTCAGTATGTTCAACAGAGTTGACCTTGTCTTGAATGTGAAACCTTCTCGGGGGTCCCAACTGTCTTTTATAAAAATGCAAAACCTTCTTGGGGGCCCCGAATATATTTTTTTAAGAATGTAAAACCTTCTCGGGGGTCTTAACTGTCTCTTTTAAATATGTAAACATTCTCGGGGGCGCCAAATGTTTTTTTTTTAAGAATGTGAAGCCTTCTCGGAGGCCCCAAAAGTCTCTTTTTTAAGAATCTGAAACCGTCTCGGGGTCCCAACTGTCCTTTTTTAAAGGAGGCGAAACCTTCTTTTTTTTCTACTGTGACTAGTACTTTCTACAGGGTTAGTCACGAGAAAATTATTTCTGAAAATTATTTTTACGCAACCCAAAATACTAATACCTTGTAACACTTGATACTATCTGAATTTAAAATGAAATGCTTAATCCATGATTGCTTTGACTTACTTTTTTTTGCACATATGAGCGCTTTTTTCGACTACTTTTCTGCAAGCAATGGTTTTTTGGTCGTTTGGTGTAGGTACTGGGTTTTTCGGTTTCAAAAAAAAAAGATTGGGTTAAACACTAGAAACGATAACTAAATTTCGTCCCATGTTGTGATTTTTAATTTTAGAATAAAGAATAATTTATGTTGCTAAAATTTTTGTTGTTGTCCAATAAAATTTTGGGATAATGTAAACAGTTAGTTTTGGGATTTACAAAATTCAGGAGGTCGTAGAGTTGCATTTAAAATTCTTCATAACCTTCAATTGTTATTATGTGTGCCAATTGGCCAATAATAAAAATATAATTAAGACAAAATGCAGCCCAAATTTTTAAATAATATATTTTTTAACCCCCCACATAAAAAGAGGGGTGTTTTAGCTCTGGAAGCTTTGTTTGCTTGTGCGTGCCTCTGTGGGATCGTAGCTCCTGAACGGAGGAACCGATTTGAATACGTAACATCAAACCTGTTTTTAATATAAATTAAAAAAAAGTCTTATTTACCCTCCTCACTTACTACGTTGGAAAAAGTGAGGTTAGATTAGAGGATCGATGACATCTGTCAGCCATCATAAATTTGAATTTCAGCACATACTTCAAAAAAAAAAAAATCAATGTCAATTTGATAAATTTTTTAAATGAACACCCGTTATATAAAATGTATTCGTTCTCACTTCCCTCCAAAGTGAAGTGTGAAAGAAAAATACTTGCGTGAGAATCTTGCCCGTGGTGTGAACTACTACAAGGGATCGACATTATCAGCCAGGAATATAAACCATAAAAAATGAGGGACTATCAGCTAATCTAGATCCCGATCTAGACGGAAAATAATAATGGTTATGGATAATGCGCCGTGTCATGGAATTAGATAAGGCTTTAAAACGTATCCAGTGTTTCGCCCAACTATCACACCAAGAACCATTCATTCAAAAAGATACGGATAATAAAAAAATCTAAATGAAATTATCTTCTTTCTTATTGCATTTCCGTGGTTGAAAACAACATCAGGGTGTAGGTTCCCAAAAGTTCCCATTACCCCAAAATTAAGTTTAAAGAAAATCACATTGTTTTTTTCAACTTACTTGTCGTAAACGAGGTACTTGTCCCCTTGCTCCTCATAGCACTCGCCCTTCGTCTCTATATGCGTCGAGTTGATGTAGATAAGGTTAGGAACGCCACTTAAGAACCACCTGCCGATCCACGATTTCTTGAACTCGCAACCACCTGTAACAATAAAAAAAATATAAGAGCTGCAATTACTCTTCGATTGTGAATTGCTGATTAGTGAAGGCCAATGACAACTCTTTAAATATTAACGATTGCCGTCACACCTGAATAATGAATTTTTACGAGTATATGAAGTCAGTTGCTGACGTTATATCTTTGGATCGACCTAGTGGTGTTATCGATTGCCGTAGAATTATCGCGTAGGTTACATTTATTAAATTTTCATTTTAATTGTGTTATACGAGCCGGGAACGTTTTGTTTTGACATGAACCCCGCACGAACCACTTGGTTGTATTTAGAGATAATAAAGCATGTTTTTTTATCGTAAAATTTAATTTACGACGTTCTCGGCGAAGTAAAGTAATTTTAAAATATTTTTACACGAAAGTAATAAGCAGTTTGACATGGAATAATATCGCAAGAACAATAATTGCTAATTTATTCTCTTTGTTATTTTAGTAATTTTCAAATTGCCTACACCTGCTGAAATTACAGTTTTAATTGCTTTTTACAGGTCGGTACATTATGGGAATATTCGTCGGTCGAGTCTGGTAATAAAGACATCCGGGAGCTCCGATTCAAGAATTTAAGTCACGTTTAGGATAATATTTTGACCTAAATCTTCATCAGGGTATATTATGTATAAACGCGACTTTTTGAAGGAAAAGGATTCGAGCTCTTTTATACTCGAAACGAATTCAGCGTTTACATTCTGAAAGGAATAGAAATATGTTTCTACATCTGTATGGATAGGCTTAAAATTCCGCTTTTTTGTGTGCAGTTAGTGGGTTAATTCGGTCGATGAAAATATAGTTTGAAGTTTATTATTTAAAATGTTTTTCGATGTGATATTTATGTTATGTTCAGGTCGTGACATCGCGAGGTCATTTAAATCGCAATCAATTCCGTGTTATGAACAGCTAGTAATATTGATTAACTTTATATCCACGCTATCATAAATGTCAATCTAGAATTTTTTTCGTAATTCTAACATGGAATTTCTGAGTGACGCTGACAAATGAATAAATACTGAGGAAAAATGCTGCATTTTTTATGTGCATTTAAATCCCTTTTACAGGCATGTAAGTATGATGAATCACAACTCTAATTTCGGGTTGCTGATTGTTATCACTGTTGAGACTAGAAAATGATCACATTAGACATAATAGGTTTCGGCTATAATTAAATAGTATTTGAGGGTTCTATCCTACGCTTCTTGTAAATTAGTATTATTTTGTAATTAGGAAAATTGTTAATTTGTTTTCAAATAATAATTAAGCAACTAATTTAATAACCTACACGTTTTGCAACAGAAAAATCGACCGAAACCATTTATCACATTTTTGTTGCGTCAAATTACGCATCATTCAAATGTTTGTATGAAAAACAATATTTACAATTCGACGGGGAATTTTCACTATTGCATGAAGAATTCAAAGCTTGAATATTTTTAATAGCGACATGTGGACAACATTTTTGCTTTTTTGGATGGTAAACACTTTAAATGTAACTGCATTAAATTTACATATAATATAATATAACGAACAATGGAAGATTACCGTTTTCCATACACGTCATGAAATATAATATAGTGTTTTTGGTAATGATTTTAAATTTACGAAATTGGTACTTTTAAGTTACAATTTTACGTGTTCGTTGGGTCACTAAAGGGTTCGGAAAAGTTTTCAGAGGATTCCATAGGAAACTTGTTTATACTTCAGGACCGAGCTGCGAAAGTCTCCTTGGCAACCCGAAAGATAAAACAGGATCCAAAGAAAGTTCGGATATTTGCGAAATTAACTGTAAAGATTGTAATCAAAAATATATTGGGCAATTATCAGACCGTTCAAGATCCTGCAGATTTGAAAAACTAAACGCCGGGCAACATATTCTGCCGATAAAAAAAAATATTTGAAAATTTGCAGCGTGGGAATAGTAATTTAAAAACGACATCGCTAGGTAAAAACTGTAAATATTCTTAGCTGGAAGGTATTATTATTATTACTTGATAAATAAGAATATCTGTACATACAGAAAACTAATTTAATCTAAAATTGTTTGTCGTTTTTTAAGCAACTGTATTTAATTTAATATCTGCTTTACATTATTCCAACAGCGACGTCGTTAACAAAACAAAATTGTGTTTTTAATAGCACTTTAACGAACAGTCAAATCTTTTTATGATTAAGATTATGCAAAAAATGAGTACTTATTTAATTTATATTTAATTTTTATGTTTAATGACGATGTTTTAATAACTGTGCATTTTAAATCCAATACTCTGCATTAGAATTATAAATCAATATAACAAAAAACAAGTTATACAATAGTAGTACACAAAGGGACCTGACGTTACAACCCACGTGACCATTGGCGGCTTTTTCGATGACGTTATCCCAGTCCACGAGGCCTACTGTCGTCGATGCCGTCATGGGTGTGACGTCACTGATGTGTTTTGTTGGTTGCGAGATATCGGGGTTGGTGGTAGACCTCGGGATTTTGAATGTTGGATGTCAGGTGCAGGATTCGAACCTTCACTCGTTTTTCGAACCAGAACTTAAATCCACTTGGCCAACATGACTTTTAGTCACAAATTCGTTTTAAATTTATAGGTTGGTAATTTTGTTCGGGTATAAAATCACATACTGATATCATAATTTAAACAATATTTTTTATTATAAACAGATATATCTATATTATGTTTATATACAGGTTATGATAATGTAATGCACAAAATTCATAAAAAGCGCAGCATTTTTTTTTGAAAAAAATGCGAAAACATGTCAAGTTTTTCATTTTAGTCTCCATCTTTTGACATATATCAAAAAATTGTACATTTTTCAAATTTATAAAAGTTCTGACGTCATCAATGATTTTTTTAAATAGGAAGGTATAATTTTAACTGCATTATTTAATAAAGCTTATTTTTCTGTATATGAAAATGTAGGTTGATGTAAGCGTTGCATAACGAAAAAATTGAGAAAATTAATAATAAACAAAATAAACTCGATTAAATGATAAAAATTTAAATAAACAGAACAGTACGTTGAAGAAAAAATTTATGTTATAGAAATTGTTCAAACTGTTCCTTAGTCACTATCTAATACAAATTCCGACGATGGTAGACCTGATTGACGGAATTTTCAATACTCCAGGGACTTGTACCAGTCATTTCATGACGAATTCGTGCTTTCAAGTCGTCTAAATACTCTAAATTATCGGGTGTGTTCATGTAAACCCGACTTTTTAAATATCTCCATAAAAAAATCAAGGGGTGTTAGATCCGGAGGCCTAGGTGGTCCACGCCTTCCAATCCACCTGCTATCAAATTGATTATCCAAAAAACCCCTACATTTACCATTTTTAGACATGTTTTAAGTTTCTTGTTGTCGAAATAAGTCTACACATACCAAGTCAAAAAGGCAGTGTGTAGCCCCGCCCACCCGCCCTATCTCGATTGTGATGATTTTTTTATTCGTCGTGAGCCAATGGGGGAGGGGGGGGGGAGCTTAACTGCAAAATCCTTAGTTCCCTACGAAAAATTAAACACATTTTTTTGAGTAGCGTGTTATTTTCAAAGAATACTATGTATATTAAGAAAAAATTAAAGCCAAAGATTAAGTCCCACCCATACCTGCCCTGATCTAATGAAGTAATGTAACGAAGTTTTCGTTCGTTGGCAGACTTAGGGGCGGAGCCTAATTGCAAAATCCACATTTCGTAACAAAAATTTACCATTTTAAACGTGTTTTAAGTTTCTAAGAATGAAAAAAATCAACAGAATTGACAAGGGGTGGGTGGGCGGGGTTCATATTTTGGCTTTTTTTTTTAATGTACAAAGTATTCTTTAAACAACACGATACTCAAAAACATTTTATTAATTTCTTGTAGATAAATAAGTATTTTGCAGTTAAGCTCCGTTCTCTTGGTTCACGGCGAGTAAAAAAAAATCATCACAATTTAGAATGGGCGGGTGGGCGGGCTTACATTTTTCTTTTTGTTTTAATATATGTAGACTTCTTTTCACAACATGAAACTTAAGACATGTTTAAAATGGAAAATTTGTATAAGGAAATATTGATTTTGCAATAGGCTCCGCTCCATAATTGCAAAATCCATATTTCCTTGCAAAAACAATTTTAACTATGTTTTCAGTTTCTTGTTATGAAAAGATGGCTATGTATATTAAGAAAAAGAAGGGAAAATGTAATCCCCGCCCACCCGCCCTATCTCAATTCTGATGATTTTTTTTTTATTCGTCGTAAGCCGAGGGGCGGAGCTTAATTGTAAAATCCTTATTTTTCTACGAGAAATGACCATGTGAAATATGTTCTTATGTAATCGTGTTATACAAAGAAAACTAACTGTATTAGTTAAAAAAGAAAACCAAAAGAGAAGCCCCACCCATCCGTCTCGATTTCAACCATGAAGAATTTTTCATTCGTTCGTTAGACCGAGGGGCGGAGCGTAATTGCAAAATCGACATTTCCCTATACAAATTTATCATTTTAAACATGTTTTAAGTTTCTTGTTGTGAAAAAAGTCTGCACATATTAAAATAAAAAGGCAAAATGTAAGCCCGCCCACCCACCCTATCTCAATTGTGGTGATTTTTTTCATTCGCCGTGAACCAAGGGTTAAGTTAAGCTCTGCCTTAACTGCAAAATACTTATTTCTTTACAAGAAATTAAAAACATGTGTTTGAGTATCGTGTTCAAAGAATATTATGTACATTAAAAGAAAAAGGCAAAATATAAACCCCGCCCACCCACCCCATCTCAATTGTGATGAATTTTTTAATCTTAGAAACTCGAAACATGTTTAAAATGGTAAATGTTTGTAAGGAAATATGGATTTGGCAATTAAGCTCCGCCCTTTGGTCTGCCAACGAATGTAAACTTCATTACTATTTAGATCAGGGCAGGTTTGGATGGGGCTTAATCTTTGGTCTTAATTTTTTCATAATATACATAGTATTTTTTGAATAACATGGTAC